CCATTTTCCTCTCTCTCTCTCTCAAACGCACAACCTGCCGGCAAAACACTCAGAAATGCCAATTGGCATCATAAAGCAACAAAAGCCAAAGCAACCACTCAGCTGAACCCAAAGAATTAAGCAAGAATATTAAAGCGGCTCTCTCTCTCTCTCTCTAAACAACAAGCACAAAACTATCTTTCTAAACAAGCGCAAAACCAATCCCCTCTCTCCCTCTGTAAACAAGAACAAAACCAATCTTCTCTATCCCTCTCTCTTACCAAAAGCCTTGAAAATCTCTTTGAGCTTCCCCATGGTGACCTCCTCCGCCAAATTGAAGACTACCAGCGGCCCCCGGTTCTCCCCCCTCTCACCCCTCCCCACCACACCCACACTCCCTTCCAAAATATCACCCCATGCCCAAACCATCACCCATTGCCCCTGACCCTGGCCAACCCCATGCGTAAACCATCACCCATTGCCCCTGACCCTAGCCAACCCCATGCACAAACCATTGCCCCTGACCCTAGCCAACCCCATGCCCAAACCCTTGCCCCGCCGCAGTCGCCCTATGCCACATAGCAATGCGTGCCTGGTGTGCCACATGTTGGGCCTGTATCTCCGCTACAGCATGCTGAACATGTCGTAGATCGTAGTAATGCACAACCACCAAACCCTCCCTCATCCTTCCATAGGCAGTGCCCTCAGCAGCCCGTAGATCTCCAATTCCCACCTCAAAGCCGTGCATCGATCGGCACCGATCTAAGCAGCAGGGTGTGTGTCGCTGCTTCCTTCCAAATGACCGTTGCCACTTCCCTTCCAAATGACCGTCGCCACCGCCAACCTGCCCATAACCATAGACAGGCATTACAGATCTGTAGGGATAGGAGCAATAAATTTCGATTATTCAAAAACCGAAAAGCTTAAATTTTTTGTTCTTAAAGAACCAAAATTGATGTATTTATACATTGATTTCGATTATTCAACAGCCGGAAAAAGATAAAGTCGTTTTTTTTTTAAAATTTCGTTTTCACATGAAAAAAACGAACGTGGTGATAATAACATAAACTATTCGGTACATATGTAATAACGTAAACTATAACGGATATATATGTAATTTTTCTTTTTTTTAATAAAGCCTAAACCATATATAAACATTTTCATATTTCCTATGTGGATATATGACAAAGCTGACAATAAATAACGGGACCATAAAGAACATTATATGCCTACTTTCCAATAAGGCATGTGATACACAACAAAATCTCGTGAGTTTCTTCAATTCTGGTTTTCCATATTTCATTAATGTTGCCACAAATAAGTAGTTGAACATTAGCAATGTGAATATGCAAAACAAGATTTCAAATCGTCGCTTCCTCTTTTCCAGCTACCATCTCCAGATTTACTTGTATGGTTTTTAATACAGGTTTTTGGCAAACTTTTCTCTCTCATAGTCTAGGTCTAAATTTGCCTAATAAGGCTTGTGGTGTATTCAAAACAAATTCAGCAAAAAAATTGATTTTTTTAAAAACTTCTGAGTAGATATGCACATAAGTACCCAAGACAAAAAAACAAAAAAATAGAGACTTCGCATTCTCTCCATCCCCATATATTCATCTCATCTTCTACTTCGTGAACCTTTTCTCTCTCCCTCTCCCTCTCCCTCTCTCTAAACTGTT